GTAGTCAAGACAAAGAATTTCCATGTTCTTGCAGACTCTGAGATAACCTAACCCAGAATCAGTCACATTAAAATGGATATATATCACTCTTTTAAGTACATTGCCACTACCAGGAGAGCGCAAAATGCTTCAAGAGAAACATCAGTTAGACGAAGAGAGCACACCAATTCATTGAGGATCTCTTGGCTGATGTCCCTTGGAAGTATGTAGAATGTACTGTGTTTATCTATAGCCTTTAAAAAAAGTACCAACAAAATTAAGGAACCCAGAATGCAGCCGGCAAGCAGAATATGCATTTATACCTCAGATATGTTCGATGCAGAGGTGAAAAAGGGAAGGAAGGCATCTGCTATTATTCTGGCTTGGTGAATACATTCCTCTCCAACCACTTTGAGCTTCCATTTTTGCTAAATTTTCTACACAGCTTTCCAGCTGGACCGTTGTTACCTTCCGCTTCCGACAACCCTCTCTTCCTCGAACAAGACCCACCCATTCGCAGCTCCAATCTTCAATCATACGACTATATATATATTCCCAATTTCAGAGGGACAATTAGTAAATGCAATCAAACGCCGTCGCCGGCGACCGGGAAAAAAATTCCGGTAGACACAATACAACACATTAGGAAAGTAAAACCAACCAACGCAACAGAATTCCTGTCGACAAAGATAACTACCTTCTTCATTTACGATGAGCTATCGCCGCGAGGAAAGCACTGATTATCTGATTTTCCGACTGTTCTGATCTGCCAAGAAGATGTGATTATATTGAGAGAAGCCAAGGAGCTATGCAAGTGAAAATAAAGGGATGGGATAACCTCACTTCCCTTAGGGATGTGAGATTCACGTCGAAGCAATTTGAGTATAATAAAAAAACAAAATTTATTAATTATTTTTTTATTAATTACAAGTGTGTGAGAGAGAGATCTTGTCCTCCAACTTGTAATCTCTCTCTTCTCTCTCTCTAGAAACTAGCCCTCTTCTTTTAGGTTGAAGTACCCTAGGTATAGGTTTTGTTTTGTTGTTGATGTATGTGACATATTCTATGCTTGATTGTGTTTATTACCAAATTGATGGATGGTTTTCATGGATTGCATGAGTTTGGATTCCATTTTATCTATTGAGCTTTTGACCTTGGAGGGAGATAATCCCCCTTAGAGCCCATTACTGACGTCTTCGGGTCACTCCTATCGTATCTTGTTTGGGAAATCCTCGAGGGAGTTAATTCGATCGGTCTCCTAACAATATATGAAACCCTAGGTTGAATAGAGAACCTACCCATCCATAAATGTGTCATTCCGGGTCATTCCCGGGCGAGTCTATTTCATAACGGTAGGGTAGTGAGTCGATCGAGCTAGGATAGTACTCAACATCGTTCCAAATGACGGAACTAGGGGGACTCAATCTAAGATAGCTCCACCACTTGTAATTAGCTAGGATAGTGGTAGCTAGGTTAGTTAGTTTAGTTTTCCTAATCACTATTCTAGGTTGGCTAGATAACGAAACCTAAACCTAAAGTAAGGTAAGCCTAGATCCTCGTGGTTCGATTAATTTTATTGCTTGCTTACCTTATCCTACACCCGGTCATTGCTTATACTTGGCCGTTGATTGGGAATGTGTAGTTAGAGTCAAGCCAGTTGATATGGAATAAAGGGCGGAGTCAGTTGGATTCACAAGGGAAGGTGGGATCAGTCTATTGTCCATGGAGATGAGAGAGGAAGGTGACGAGGGATGAAGATAATAGTATTCTAATTTGTATTTTCTTTCAAGATGTGTTATATTATTTGATGAATATTAATATTTTCCCATGTGATATGGTCAAATGTTTAATTTTTTGTCACCTCACAAAAAACTTCCATCTCATTAAAGCTTTTTTAACGTCAAATTCAACAAATGTTATTGTGTTTTAAAAGGGTTGATCATTATTTTGTTTACAATCGAAGATTTGGCTATTATATAATTTTAACCGTGGTTCAAAAACGCGCACTTAAACTTGCACTTAACTAGGTAACACCAAAATGCCTCGCCTAGGGATTTCGTGGCAACTAAGGAATCAAGAACACATCGTGAAATAAGGAGACACCAAGGTGTTGCCTAGGCATAATTAGATTGAGCTAGGTAGCAAATATCAAAGGAGAAAATCAACATCATCTACAAAATCAAATATCAATCATTTCAATAACTCAAGAAATTTATAAGCTATTGAGCTATAATTATATGAACTTGTGAGTTATTTTCTTGTTAAGTAAGTCACTATCATTCTAACTGAAATGGGAGTGTTGTAAATTTTTATTGCATTCATTATATATTTTACAAATTGCTAATTTTGCTTCAAATATCTATGCACATTTAGGAAATGCCTAGTGTCTAAACGGCTAAGCAAACTAAATGCTAGGTAAAGCCTCTACACTCTACACTCGTCTATGCTAGTTCATGAAACAAACTAAGGAGTTGTTTGGAAGTTGCGACTGTTTTGTTGAGATTGTTACTATACATGTATTGTTTAGAAAGCATCATTTTTTATTTTTTAGCAGAAACAATACATGGATTGTTTATGTGATGTGACAAAAATTATCACTCAAAATAAGTGATTGTTAAATCTCAACTTTTAGTTATAATTGTTGAGTTAAGATTGTTTTGTCACAACTTTTAACTGATATAACATACACAATCACACATACCAAACATTGTATTACATGAAATTAAAAAATACATTTATTATTTACAACAATACATAAAGGTACAAAAGTGCTGCGAGCAAGATAAACAAAGGAAATCATCACCCAAAATATTTGGCTACCAAAGTTGTACCTTTCTTATTCTCTATTTCCACACCACATTCAAACAGCTACAAACTAATACCAAACCAACAACGTCCTGGTATAAAATATCAAATCTTCATACGAACAAAAACTTCTACTAAAACAAATCAACACATAAGAAAAGCTTGCAAAACATACATATAAGCCAAACTACGGCACCAGGTAACAAATAGAGAACCCCAACCCTTCAAATCAAAGTACGGCTGCAATGACTTCAGCCACTAGCGCCACGTATAGCTCCTCTGGAAACTTTTAAGACCAGCACCAGCAGCACATCGGTTTTTATACTCATTTGGCAAAGGAATGAGATTGTCGATGCATGTCCAGAAGCAGAAAGGCACCATAGAACCATCGTTCCTAACAACGAAGTAGGCCGGATAGCTCCCCACTGTGGGCATCCGAATTTGTACTGATTGGAGACCCCCTCCCGAACCAACCTTCTTCTCCCACTCTGGATCGCCCTTCTTCAGCAACAAGGAGAAAGTGCAGTGCAATTTTTGTGGTCAATCATCCTGGCGGTGCTACCCTCATTCACGGTTGTCGTCATCAGGAGGGCCAATGTTCATTTCGCATTCCAACTTCGTCTCTGCAGCCGTCGGTGCCATTAGCACCCTCAACATCATCCTACCGATTTTGTGTTTGGCTGGAGTTTCTTTATCATTTAGAATCCATCCTGCAACTGGTTTGACATCACCAGTCAATTCCACAGGGTCGTCTGCTTGTCATTCTGCCTTGGACCTTGGTTTCTTATCGACGGATACTACTGAAGTTTACATGCCATTTGGTGTTGATGCCGTCGTCAATCATCAAAGCTGGGTTTCTGTCATTTTGTTGGAGTTTTGTCACAAGCGTCCATTTACTTGATCCATCATCCAGTTGTCTTTTAGTGGTGTCACCATATATCTCTCTAGTAGGGATTTGTTTTTAGGTGGGGTTCTTTAAGTTTGAGGTCTTGGAGGATGCACTATTTTGGGTTGGCAGTCGCTATAAAGATGGTTTTGAAGTCATCGTCAGTTCAAAGAAGGTGTCCCAATGTTTGGTCAAGCAAAATTCTCACCAACATTCATCAAGTCATAACGGTAGAGACGCTCTCGACCCAATCGTAGGTCGTCCCTTCATTAGTCGGTGTTGGAGATAAATGAAAAATTTCTTAAGTTATGAAGCGAGAAAATCACGATTCAAGAAGCGATCGTCCCCTCGACGTTCATAATTAGGTAATTTTCAGTTTTCACCATTTTAACTTTCAAGTTGGGCATTCACGTCGTTCATGCTCCAGCTTGAGGGAGAGAATAGGGAGTCAACATATGTCGATCGCCTAGCTCAGTCTTCAAGTCGACCGCAATGTACCAGTGTGAGTTCACGTCGTTCAAGAGACGCAGTCAACCATCTCCACCATATCATTCGGATAGACGCCGTCAACCGTCTTCGTCTAGTCGTTCAAGAAGACGCAGTCAACCGTCTCCATCATGTGGTTCGGATAGTCAACCGTCTCCGTCAGACCGTCACGCCGGTCAAGAAGACGCAGTCAATCATCTTCATTAGGTTGTTGATAGAGAAAGTCAGCCATCTCCTAGTCAACCTCGTCCAAGATTTCATTCATCTTGTGTTTTGTTGTACAAGCTTGTCATGCTTGTTCTTCACATTTCCTTTTTCAAGCTCAACATTCTTGTCATTTATGTCTTCGCTTGAGGGGGATTGTTGTAGTTATTTAAACCGTGTGAGTTTTGGGTCTTGTTGGGCCTTGTCCGAGTTGTAGTAGGTATGGATAATTGGTCGTACTCAGCTCTTCTCGTTATGGTTTTAACCTTAAGTCTTTCTTTATATAAGGCTTAGCTACGGTCATCGTGGATTAGTCCTGTTCACGTCGAACAGGGGTACCACGTAAAAATCTTATGTCTCTTGTTTTTTTCAATTCCACATCATCAAAATATACTATTTAGCTTATGGTGGAGTGAACTCTCGCAACGACACGCAGAAGGATTGAGTCCGTTTTACGCGTATGTTGGTCCAAGCGAAACTAGTTAGATTAATTTAATCTAATTCATTTAAGTAAGTACTCTACTCATGCCTTTTATTGAAATTGTGGTTATTTTTTGAAGTCATTTCTTTCAAATTCGAGTAAGTCATTACCAATTTTACTTTGTAGTGGTAAGGAATTTTGCAAAACAAAAGTCAACTTTGTCATCCTACCAAAACTTTGTCATCCTAAACTTCGTAGTTATCCTTTTTCCAAGACCGATCTACTCTCACTTCAATCACTCTAGTTTCTTCTTCCTTTTCTCATCTTTTTCTCGGGGACTTTGCCTCTAGTTCCTCTGCTTTGCGCTACACGGCGGCCAAAAGGGAAGGGAAAAAGGGAAGATGATCATCAAAAGTACAGCTGATCTCGTGAAAGACGAGCTCCCAATCGAGCAGGAAGCGATGGTGATTCCAGAGGACGGAGGAGCTGTCTCCGGTCTGGTACTTGTGGACATCATCAACGGATTCTGCACTGTTGGAGCCGGGAATTTGGTGAACAATCTCTTTCTCTTAATACATAGATGTAAGTGAAAATTTTGCTGGGCAAGTGTTTAAAAGAGAATAATGATTATTACCCTACCCTGTTTTTTAAAGGCTCCAACGGAGCCGAATACGCAGATCACCGAAATGATTAAGGAATCAGAGAGCATGGCAAGGCTATTCTGTGAGAAGAAGCTCCCTGTCATGGTTTTCCTTGATTCCCATCACCCTGGAAAGCCTGAAAACCCATACCCTCCTCACTGTCTTGTGGGCACCCCTGAATCCAACTTGGTTCCCGGTACAAATTAAACAAATTAGTATTGTTCTTCCCCAATCGATGTCTCTTTGCTGCAACTTCTCTGCCTGAAAGTATGGATCTTTTCTTTGCTGCAGCTTTAGAGTGGCTGGACAAGGAACCAAACGTGACAATCAGAAGGAAGGACTGCTTCGATGGGTTCTTGGGATCAATACAGGAAGATGGGTCCAACGTTTTTGTCGACTGGGTTGCCAAGAATGCCATCACAAGTGTAAAAATTATCGATCTTTCACCTCTCTATGAATAGATAGAATAGTATCCACTAATTGAATCAGATCGTTTGAGCCGTTAGTCTCATTGCTGTTGCTATTCACGAATGAAATGCTACACAGATAGTGGTGGCTGGGGTGTGCACAGACATATGCGTGCTGGACTTCGTCTGCTCGACGCTATCAGCCAGAAACCTGGGATTTCTGAAACCTCTGGAAAATATATATTTGTCTAGTAAATAAACCGTTTTTATACTACTGTTACTTAGTTCTGCCACGTGAAAAGAAGAAAAAATGTATAAATTATTAAAATTTCAAGCAAATAACTGAAACAAAAAGCATTAAATACATAGAAGTTGTTGCTTGAATTTTGACGAGGTGCACAGACATAAGCCTATTGAGTTTTGCGATTTAGACAATGAATTGATTGGAGTTTGGGGCATGATATTATATCCTAACCTCTAATGTGTCAATCCCAATCCCCAATTCACTAACCTAAACCATAAGATTCATTTAATCTTGAAATGAAAATCAACGATGCTGATTCATTGAAATTATCGTTAATTATTAAACGAATTTTTCAATTTGGGTTAGAAAATTAGGAACTGGGGTTCACCCATTAGAGGTTAGGGTATAGTATCATGCCCCAAACTCCGATTAATTCATGATCTAAATACCAAATCAATCTATCGACGTGGCGTATTCGACGCAACCACGTTTTTTGGTGCACTCAGTGCATCCGCCTCATAATCATCATTCTGAGCATGCGATTCATGTCAAAACCGTATCAATTGTTGTTTATGAAATTATGAATAAGAAGCACATGAATTTGAAAAAAAATCAATTACGATTTACTTTAATTTGATGGATTTAGGATTTAGAGGTTTAGGGTTAGGGTTTAGGTTTACAGTTTGAGATTTTGCATTGGGATTCCAAATTGAAGGTTAAGGGTTAGGGTAATAGATTGATTTGTTATGATTCTATGTCATATCATCACATTAGATTGAGAGTACTAATTAAAGTTCAAAATTTGATGTATTATGGACACCTTTAAAGATGGGTGCACTCAAGTGAGTGCACCGAAGTAGCCACCATATATATATGGGGAGTTCTACGGTACTCAGGGTGAAATCCGGGGTATCGCATATCTTGAGTAAGAAAACGCTATCCATAACTTGAATTGACTGATCTTTCGGACATGAAACTATACTCTAACCCTTAAAGATCAAAATCTAGGTCTTAATTCTCTAACTCTTACATTCCAATATCAATTTAATTAGAAACAATAATCGACGGTTATGATTCGTCCAAATATAGGCAAAAAAATTAATGCACCATCTTAGGGATTATAGTTTATGATTTAGATAATTAGCACATAGGGTTCACTCAATAAGGGTTAGGGTATAGTATCATGCCCAAAAATCCTGCTAATTCGGGGTCTAGATAGCGTTTTCATACTCAAGGTATGCGGTACCCCGGATTTCACCCGGGGTACCGTAGAAGGCACCATATATATATATATATATATATTGTAAATTTCATAAACATTTTCCGAGATAAGGTAAATAGGTTATTCATTATAAGCTAACAAATTTGTAATATTTTGTACTTTTAAATTGTACACATGAAAAGAAACAGGGTGAACCATACAGGAGGAAGGACTGCTTCGATGGGTTCTTGGGATCAATACAGGAAGATGGGTCCAACGTTTTTGTCGACTGGGTTGCCAAGAATGCCTCTCTATGAATAGATAGAATAGTATCCACTAATTGAATCAGATCGTTTGAGCCGTTATGCTATTCACGAATGAAATGCTACACAGATAGTGGTGGCTGGGGTGTGCACAGACATATGCGTGCTGGACTTCGTCTGCTCGACGCTATCAGCCAAAAACCTGGGATTTCTGAAACCTCTGGAGAATATATATTTGTCTAGTAAATAAACCGTTTTTATACTACTGTTACTTAGTTCTGCCACGTGAAAAGAAGAAAAAATGTATAAATTATTAAAATTTCAAGCAAATAACTGAAACAAAAAGCATTAAAATACATAGAAGTTGTTGCTTGAATTTTGACGAGGTGCACAGACATAAGCCTGTTGAGTTTTGCGATTTAGACAATGAATTGATTGGAGTTTGGGGCATGATATTATATCCTAACCTCTAATGTGTCAATCCCAATCCCCAATTCACTAACCTAAACCATAAGATTCATTTAATCTTGAAATGAAAATCAACGATGCTGATTCATTGAAATTATCGTTGATTATTAAACGAATTTTTCAATTTGGGTTAGAAAATTAGGAACTGGGGTTCACCCATTAGAGGTTAGGGTATAGTATCATGTCCCAAACTCCGATTAATTCATGATCTAAATACCAAAACTCAATGGGGCATACGGCAAGTCAGCGTACGCTCGGGCATACGCTAGCCTGAACCATATATATATATATATATATATATGGGTGATTCTATCGTACCTTGGGTAAAATCAAGGGTACAACATATCTTGAGTAAAAAAATGATATCTAGACCTCGAATTGAGCATAGTTTGGCGTATGATATTATTCCCAAACCCTTAAGGATTAAAATCTAGGTCTTAGTTTTATAAATCTCATACACTAAGATCAATTTAATTAGAAACAAAAATCAACGGCTATGATTTGTCGAAATATATGCAACAAATTACAGGCACAATCTTAGGGATTAGGCTCTTTGATTTAGAAATCTAAGACCTAGGTTTCAATCATCAAGGGTTAGAGTATAGTATCATGTCCAAAAATTCGGTTAATTCGAGGTCTAGATAGCATTTTTTTACTCATGGTATGTCGTACCCTAGATTTTACCCAAGGTACGATAGAAGCCACCATATATATATATGTGGTGGCGTATTCGACGCACCCACGTTTTTTGGTGCACTCAGTGCACCCGCCTCATAATCATCATTCTGAGCATGCGATTCATGTCAAAACTGTATCAATTTTTGTTTATGATATTATGAATAAGAAGCACATGAATTTTAAAAAAAAATCATTTACGATTTACTTTAATTTGATGGATTTAGGATTTAGAGGTTTAGGGTTAGGGTTTAGGTTTACAGTTTGAGATTTTGCATTGGGATTCCAAATTGAAGGTTAAGGGTTAGGGTAATAGATTGATTTGTTATGATTCTATGTCATATCATCACATTAGATTGAGAGTACTAATTAAAGTTCAAAATTTGATGTATTATGGACACCTTTAAAGATGGGTGCACTCAAGTGAGTGCACCGAAGTAGCCACCATATATATATATATATGGTGACTTCTACGGTGCCCAGGGCAAAAGCCGGGTACGGGTACCTTGGCCGATCTTAACCGTTCGTTATCAATCTCCACGGCTCACGTTTGTCAAACCTAACTGCGCCACTAAATAACTAAACAAATTACAAAAAGCCTCCTCCGCGTTAAGTTTGTTTTCATCCTAGTCCAACTAACTGCCCCGATTAAATTAAATGGATTAAGACCCAAACCCAATTGGGTAGACCCACTGCCGCCCAAACCAATTTCCAGTCTCCCTAACCAATTACACGATCCCTCTCTCGTCTTGGAGGGACGCCCCTTCACAGTTCCAAGAGAAGCTCCCCATCCACATTCGACGTAGATTGAATTTCCCAAAAAAATTTTGTCTTGTTTCTTCTTCGCCATTGTATTTCCCCTCGCCTATCTCTTTCTAACACGATTACGGCGACCATGTCTATTATTGTGTTCATCGAACTTTTCATTTGCAAAAGAACCCTTGAAAGAGGTTTGCTAACCCTAGGGTTCATGTCCCTAGTGCTTTGTCATATTGTCTTAGCGTTATTGTGATTTTCTCGAAACTTCTATCACTCGGTGAAATTTAGGTTTCCTGATATGTAGTGTTCGTCTCGCCCAGAGGATTGAGGAAGAAGATGAAGAACACATAATTTGATTCGAATCGGATGGAGAGGTCTCCTTAGTTTGTGTTTATGTATTAACGGTGCGTTTAGGACTAATTCTAGTTGGACTGGGTCTGATCATTGATTTTTGCATGCTTTTAAATAACATTCAAACGTGGGCTTGTACATGACCCATGCAATATTCAAAAGTGGGCCTGGAACGTGCGAGCCCATTAGTTTTCTCCTGCGGTATCAGCGCCAACCCTAGTTTAACTAGCTTTAGTTACCCTAGTTTAACCTACACGAGTTAAGATCATCATTACTACATATCTTCCCAAATCTTCTAACTCTTGACATTCCAGACTCAACCGACTCCATCACACGTCTCCACACTCAACCCCCACGATCACTTTTTCTTACACCTACAATCTCTCTTTCCCTACAATCCCTCTTTCCTCCATCTTCACCTTCCCTTGTTCCTTCTTCCTCTGACTCCATGGCAAACATGGGCATTCTAACTCTATCAAACGACGACTGCCGATCCACCACAAGTCTCGCGGACTATCTTTCATTCACGAGCAAGACATCTATTGTGGCCGAGTACGAGTTCATCCACCTGTCCCCTTTCCCTCAAGAAGTGAAGCAGTTAATTAAAAATCTTGGCTGGGAAAAGTTCTTCGATCTCCGGAGTCGAGGAAGCACCAGTTACTGCCCGCATGTGGTGAGGAAGTTCTACCACAATTTAGAGCTGTCTGGTCCCTCCGATTCTCATCTCGTGTCGGTCTTCCTGGGTTATATAGCCTGCTTCCAGCCTGATCAGTTTGCTAAGATCCTCGATCTCCCCGCCGCAGGACACCACATTAATAGCAGAAGCGATCTTCGGCGGCTGTACGATTTTGATTTTGAAGTTGAACTGGGGAAACTGACGAATGGGCGCATCCAAGCTTCTTTCCTCCCAGATCCTCTTCGATTCCTCCATTGGATGATCGTCAACTGCTTCATGCCAAGGTACAGTGGTCATTCGATAATTCGTAGACTTGACCTGTTTATCCTTGTGCAAGCTCAAAGAGGTGTTCCTCTTAACCTCGCATCTCTCATGTGCGTGAACATGGTTGAGGCTGCTCCTAGAGGGGAAAACTGGTACACTGCCTTTCCATATGCCACCTTCTTGACCACCTTTCTTGGAAGGTTTGGGATGGATATGGGGGTTTATGCTAGGGAGGACCATTCCGCCTATTTACCAGTCTACCGTATCGTCGAAGTGACCAATACTTTTTATAACCTTCGGCATATGCAGCATGAAGAGACCCCTGAGGCATCCTCAAGCAAACGTCCTCGGCTTACATGAGAGTCGATTGATGCAGGGCGGGGTGGAGCAGTGCAGGGTGGGGTGGAGCAGTGAAGGGGCCAGCATTGGATGTGTTTTGTTAAGAAGTTTAC